GCGATCCACGCGCTCTGAAACAAAATCAGAAGTCATAAAATCGGAAACAAAAGCCATAGGATTCATACCCATTGCGGACCAGCACAACAACGAGGCAAGTCACAGCAGAAAACGTCTCCGCAAGATGTGGCGGCAACTGCACTGTAAACTGGGCCTGATCCAGCAACCGCACCACACAAGCACACACAAGCACCTGTTGACCTGGAAGAGCAAGCCGATGTCAGAACTCGTATAGCTGCCTGACGGAGATGTCGTAGGACTCGTCCGAGCAGCGGTCGCTATCGCGAGGGGTGCCGAGGCCCGAGGAGGAGGAAGAAAGACGGGCGGCCGAGGGCGGGGGAGCGCGGCGAGGGGGGGGGCCACCAAGGAATTCCCGACGGCACCAGGCCGCCCGGCGGTAACCTTGGTTTTTGCTTTGCGCAGAGCCACAGGCCTGAGTTCAGGCCCGCTCGAGTCACAGCCTAACGCAGAAGGGGGGCAACAGGCCAAGCGCCTGCAGGACCGCCACCACACCTTTGAGTAGGTGCTTTGCAGCAAGAAGTTCAGCCTGGGCCACTGTACACGAGGGCGGGAGGCAGAGGGCTTCAGAGGCGACATCGCACCACCAGAAGCCACTCGGGGAGGCGGAGCCATCAAGATTATTAAGGTGATTAAGATGAAAGGGAAGCGATGGGAGAATGTACAGATCGAGGACCCAGCCGCCGCCACAACCCTCAGAGGAGCGGCCTCCGTCGAAGAAGCCCCTCACACCGAGCACGCTCGAAGCACTCATTGTAAATAACCTGTCATCGATTGTCAAGTGGTCCTGGCCCCTCCGAGCCATCCAAGTCTGTTCATCAGCTCTCGTGTTCCCTTCCCGATAAATCCATGTCGTTATATCACATCCCCGTGAGGGGGGCCCGAATGTGCATGGGCATCTCCACAGACATAGAATCAAGTAAATCTTGAACAGCAGAAACCGTCGTCGAGTACACGTCAGTAGTACATCTAAATAGACCATTAATCCGATTACAAATCACAAGGGAGTCCCCCGAGATTTCTTTAGGTAAACCCTTGGACCCAAGCCCCACCAAGACTGACGTTGTTCGTTCAGAGCAATACGTTTTGTAGCCTTTTCCTTTTCCGCCTCCTCCTTCCTACGCTTCTCCTCCACCGCAAGGTCCTCCGCCTCCATCCTGTAGGGCCCTTTGGGATCCCTGAGGACACAATATTGGGGCACGTGCGGTAGGTCCCACATACCCAGCAGCGCACGGACAAAATATCTCCACCCGTCCTCGTCCCAAGTCAAGCTAGCATACCAGTAGGCTCCTCCCACCGTCTCGAACGGAAGCGACCATGGATGGAAGCCTGCAGGGCGGCCGCCCTCGCGGCGCCTGGTGAGCACACGGGTTTCCTTCGAATCGAGAGTGCGAATGAAAGCATCCCTCTCCTCGGTCCAAGGCGACACAGCATGCAGCATGCACAAGCGAGAGAGGGAGTGAGGATGGTACGTTTCAGGCCCCAGATCACACCGCACCCGTCGCCGTTTGTAAGCAGTGTTGGATACCTGGGAATCCGCCGTAACAGATACCGGAGGCGGCACGAGTTGTGATCCTTAAAACAGCACAGGGTCGGGGAGCGGCACCGACAGCGACATCCGTTGGGCAGCGGCGCAAACATCTTTGGCCCAGCACCACTGTCGATACAGAAATAGTTGTGGCAGACTCGGCAGACCAGCCGAGTGCAAGGCCCGTCTGGCATGAGGATACACACGTTGCATGAACGTAGTCCAATCCTCGCCCGCCCCTTTTCTCCTCCACATCATCTTAGCTAAGAGCTTACCCTCACATTTGTGCAGTGCAGTTAGAGTACTCTGATCTGACGTCATTCCTTCTGCTCCAAAAAGGATCTTGCCACGCACTTTGCCGTCGTAGCGTCTGAGTCGGCGGATGAGCGGGATATCCCGACAACAGTAGTACCTTTTCTCATGCCAAAAGGCCCGCTCCCCGCAGCTGATACGATGGAGGACATCAACCTGTCTCTGCATCGAAGAATCAATCATCACACCAAGGATCGACATGCTCTGCACCCTCGGCAACTGTATAGTGACCGTAGGCGTCTGAGAAGTACGGCGCCTCTTCGTAAGTAAAACATGTGGCGACATCTGGACACAAGAGGGGGCCACGATCGTGAAGTCAACCAGGATGGGCACCTGAGGAGCGCCCTGGAACCCGCAGAGCAGATACTGCAGGGAGCTGGGCTTCCACGAATACCCTCTGGAGTACAAAAGTACCGACATCTGACGCACCATCATAATGAGCTGATCAGTGGAGGAAGCCCCCAGGATAACATTGTCCGCCCAGATGGCGCGGGAAAAAGCCAGTGCGCCTGCCTCATCCGTGAGAGGAATGCCAATGCCAGCACGACGCCAGTTGTGACACAAGTCGCTCGGCATCACAATAGTCTCGCATATCCAGCCCATGAGGGCCTCAACTGAACCAGTCTTCACACATCGGTCCCATGGTACCCCCATGACTTCGACATCCTGAAATTTGAAATCTGCAACACAATGACTCTGTGGTTCTAATAAAGCATAAGCCAGATCGGGGGGGAACGATAACGCATCCATGGATTCTGAGAGGCTGTTCACCGTCATGTGATCGAAAGCACGTAGTACATCCAAGGACGCAAAACAACAAGAGTGGGACTTGCCCCAACTCCACACCATGCTGAGCTAACCTCTTGACAACCGCTGTAACCTCGTGTACCCTGCGCTCACCAGCAAATCCGTAGAGCATACACCCAGGTGTAGTCGATCGCAGGTGGGACGCAGCGAGGATAACCAAACACAAATGATACCATTTTGACATCACACTAAGAAGACTGAGAGCAGGCATTTCTGTAAAGCCGGTGGCGCGCTGGTGATTGGGCATCAGCGCAATGCAAATGGAACGCCACACCGAAGGAGCATCGGACTCACGGCTGAACAGCTTTAGACCTTCAAGATGGAGCAGAGAGCGGACCAGGGCACACATCGGAGCATACTGGCACTGATCCCATCCTTCCCCACCGCACGTCCCACTTTGAGCTTCGCACGGGCTCTCATGAGGATCCCCATTGAGATAGCCTCCCGTCCGAAGCAGCCGTGAGGGCCACCCGATGGATCCTGCAACCGCCTCCTCCTCTCCTCCAGCATTCCTGGAGTAACGCTCCTCTCCTCCTCACAACTGTCATGAATGAAACCGTGTACACGTAAAGCCTCCTCCCACTTCCGAACATCACACGTATCCTCCCCATCCACATGCAGTGTATAAAGATGTGTACGGCACTGTGCACCTGTCGAAACGAGTATTCCGTGAGGCGACGCCTGTGGGCTCGACGCTCACGTTGCTTCTGACGACGGGCAGCCTTCATCTCCTCCTCCGAACAGTCCCCCGCCTTCCACCTCCTGCGAACCTCAGTCCACCGAAGACGTGCCTGGATGTAGTCCTTACTGACCCGTGGGAGAGTATCCTGATAGGATGGGGTGGCCAAAATTGGAGGCCTCCTGGAGGATGAGGGTGCCGATCTCAGCCGCGGTCATTTCTGTCGGTCCGTCACACAGTGCACGGTCAATATGACTGCGCAGCTGCTGCAGAGAGTCCTCGTCACACCGCCAGTGGGTGTTGTTGCGAGGACGGTGCCTGGCAGCCCTCGCTGGCCTGGCAGTCTGCGGGAGTACGAGCGACACAATCGCATGGTCGCTCCACCATGTCTCTAGCTGCAAAGTGTCGTCAGCCATAGCCTCTCGGGGCACCGCCCAAGTGACCGAAGCAGAGGGTAGGTTGCCATACCAGTGTCTGGGTACACACAGATAGTCATACACATGTTGATACTGTTGTGCCTCAGGGATATACTTTGTTGACCACCACGTGGGCCTGCGTGGGCCGTCGAAGGTGTTCGCCATAAACAGACCCAAGACACCCATCGTGGTAGTAAGGGTCTCAGAGTAGGCCTGGGGGAACTCGCGGGCGTCCTTTTCAAAACCCCCAGAGGCCTTGCGGGGAGCAAAGGAAGTACCATCCACAAACGGGCCCGTCCCAGGCCACTGCTCATAGAAGACCTCACCCTCCACCTCCACCTGCCCGCCCACACCCAAGACGACGTCCCTGATCGCTAGCAGACCGAGTTCAGACCTCTGGATGGAACAGGCGAACGCGCCTGATCATTTTGCATCGATGAGGTGTGCTCACCAGCTCTGTGGCTCTTCTATAGCTCGAGTTATGTTCAGAAAACCGTCACTGCGTGTCAAGATGACCCGAAACAGCCGATCCCGCCGCAGTGCTTTTTGGCAGTAATATCTACCCGATCGATCTGAGATCAAGACGGCGAGCGGGAATAAGATCGAATATCACGGGAAAACAAAACTAGAGCTCTAACGAATGTTCAAATTTCGAGAACAAAATTTTCAACCGACCAAAAGTCAGCAAAAGGTCCGTCGAGATTTTTCTTGCCAACTGGGCGCCGGCGGTAAACCGTCAACCTTTGTTTTTGCGGACTTTGCGGTCGACCGTGCAGGCTTTCCAGCCTAGTCGGAGCAAGGAGCGGACGTATCCAAACAGGCAAGGCGTGAGTGACCACAAACTCTTATTCACATCAAACCAGTCCGAAATACGCATGTTCAACCCACCGTATGACAAGAGGCGTATGCTCAACGTCACATGTGAAGTAATCAACGAATTAGACGGGGAAACAACCCGTGGAAGAACGTCACCTGAAGAATCTGAGGGGCTCCTGCCCTTTACACACCTGAAGCGCTTAGTGGGGCCCACAGCGGGCCGTAGAGCCATCATGGCTCCAGCGAGAGGTCAAACAGAGAGATAAAGTGAGGAAAACAAGAACAGGTGAGATACGAGCATTACAGCCTTCGCTGTTCTAAACCGAAAGTTGCATACAAGTGCGCACGAATAGCTTCATCCCAACTTGTCGAAACTCCTCGGGCGTCCGAAGAATATTATTCGGTAATCGCTGCACTTCGAAACCTCAAGAAACTTGGCCATCTCGGCGCGGTTCATTTGTCCTGTCAAGAACCTGTGCACCTCGAAGAATCCTAGAAGATCCTCCAGCGTCGCTTGCACATTCTGGAGCATCTCATACAGTTTCCGAGCATAATCGGTTTGGGCCTTCTTTGTAGGGAACCCACGTTCTGTCACCAGCTTATCAAACAAATCCATTCCGTTCTTTAAACACTGGATCGCATTCAACTCGTCGATGCTGGCAACAGCGTCAATCCACGCTTTGACATCGGCAATGGTGGCCTGAGAGCACGTCGATGTCCCCTTGACCTTGTCACGATCTCTCCCTCGAGTCCTCTGGCGCGACTCCTTCGACACCTCATTGAGCGTGACGGGGCGATTCAGACACCCCTGGGACGCTCCTGAAGAGGCGCGGCTATCAGAATCAGACTGCACGTTCGGAGAAGACTCCGCACTCGAGGGTGCCTCCAGCTCCTCCTCCGCCGCCACAGTCACTTTCCCAAGAAGAACTCCTGAAGCTCCTCCCTCCATCCCAACGACACTAGCTGTCTGACAGCCGACTTCACAATGAAAGTCCGCAACATCAACCGTCTGCACTCCAACATCAACCAGCGATTCAGAAGCCTGCACTCCAATATCTACATCAACCAGCGATTCAGAAGCCTGCATACGGCAAGAAAGATTCTCCGAAACAGTCTTAATGTCAGCCTCCTCCTCCTCCTCCAAACTGCGTTTAACAACAGGTGGATCGCGCAACAAGAGATAATCTAGAACCAAATCGGCAGTCGCCCGCTCCAGCCCTGGTGGTGGGAGACACGTAGGTGGCACCAAACCATCCAGAGGCAAACGAATAGGTAAATGCACACAGTATCCGTTTTGAACAGCCAGCGCCCGACGCATAATGCGAGCACTTGCACTCCGCACGTGTGGCATAACGAAAGATTGCAGAGACTGCCTCGGAAGCACCCAGCAAAACAAATCAATTGAAGACAACTCAAGGCGATCAAACATGTCAAATGAATGGCAGCGCAATATCACTCTAGGCGACAAACGTGTGAAACAAATCAATTGAAGACCACTCAAGGCGATCAAACGTGTCAAATGAATGGCAGTGCAATATCACTCTAGGCGACAAACGTGTGACTCCCTGACGCGCACTCGATCCCATTGGAGGTTGCCCAGGCAGAGGGGATCAAATGTCAAGCGCCTTGAGCCGGCCTTTGTTACCGCCGGGGGACTCGTAGAGCTTCCTGACAACATATAATGTCGAAAAAAAATTACACATAAAACATAGTTTTTCAGCCCAAGCAATTTCAAACCTCTCGGATGCAACAGCCGAACGCCCCCGATGCTTCTGGATTGTCTTCTGTACGAGCTCTGTAGCTCTCCTACAGCCCGAGTTACGTGCGTAAATCTACAGCACCTCTCAAGATGACTCGAACAATACGAATAGTTTGGCAAACCTAGCTCGAGTATCAGACCGAGTTCAGACCTCTGCATGCGACAGGCGGACGCGTCTGATGTCTCTGAATCGATTCCTGTGATTACCAGCCCTGCAGCCCCCCTACAGCCCGAGTTAAGTGCAGGAAACCGACAGCACCTCTCAGGATGACTCGAACAATACGAATAGTTTCGCAGACCTAGTTCGGGCAGCAGACAGAGTTCGGAGCTCTGGATTCGAAAGGCGGACGCGCCTGATGTCTCCGAATCGATTCCAGTGATTACCAGCCATGCAGCCCCCCTACAGCCCGAGTTAAGTGCAGAGAACCGACAGCATCTCTCAAGATGACTCGAACAATACGAATAGTTTCGCGATTCTAGATCGGGCAGCAGACCGAGTTCAGAGCTCTGGATTCAACAGACAACGGCCACTGATGATTCTGAATCAGATTCTGTACGTATCAGCTCTGTAGCTGTCCTGTAGCTCGAGTTGAGCCGTCTGTCAAGATGACTCGAATAATACGAATAGGTTTGCGGACCTAGCTCGGCTAGCAGACCGAGTTCAGACCTCTGGGTTCAACAGGCGAACGCGCCTGATCATTCTGAACGATTAGCTGTGCTTACCAGCTCTGTAGCTGTCCTAAAGCTCGACTTATGTTCAGAAAACCGTCATCGCGTGTCAATATGACTCGAAACGGCCGATCCCGCCTGCCTGCATTTTGGAAGTAAAATGTACCCGATCGAGCTGAGATCAAGACGGCGAGCGGGAATAAGATCGAATATCACGGGAAAAAATACTAGAGCTCAAACGAATGTTCAAATTTTGAGAACAAAATTTTCAACCGACCAAAAGTCACCGAAAGGTCCGTCGAGACTGGGCGCCGGCGGTAAACCGTCAACCTTCCTTACCGCCGGGGGACTCGTAGAGCTTCCTGACAATATATAATGTGGAAAAATTCAGAACGAACAGTTTTTCAGCCCAAGCGATTTCAGACCTCTCGATACAACAGCCGAACGCCCCCGATGCTTCTGGATTGTCTTCTTTGCGAGCTCTGTAGCTCTCCTACAGCCCGAGTTACGTGACAGCACCTCTCAAGATGACTCTAACAAAACGAATAGTTTGGCAACCCAGCTCGAGTATCAAACCGAGTTCAGACCTCTCAATGCGACAGGCGGACGCACCTGATGTCTGCGAATCGACTCCTGTGACTACCAGCCCTGCAGCCCCCCTACAGCCCGAGAAAAGTAAAAAACCGGCAGCACCTCTCAAGATGACTCGAACAATACAAGAGTTTCGCAGACCTAGTTCAGGCAGCAGACCGAGTTCCGAGCTCTGGAGTCGACAGGCGGACGCGCATGATGTCTTCAAATCGATTCCTGTGACCACCAGCACTGTAGCCCCCCCCAGCCCGAGTTGAGTGCAGAAAACCGAGAGCACTTCTCAAGATGACTCGAACAATACGAAAAGTTTCGCGATTCTAGATCGGGCAGCAGACCGAGTTCAGAGCTCTGGATTCAAGAGACAAATGCGACTGATGATTCTGAATCAGTTTCTGTACTTATCAGCTCTGTAGCTGTCCTATAGCTCGAGTTAAGTACAGAAAACCGAGTGTTTGTCAAAATGACTCGAATAATACGAATAGGTTTGCGGACCTAGCTCGGCTAGCAGACCGAGTTCAGACCTCTAATTTCCACAGGCGAACGCGCCTGATCATTGGAAATCGATTAGCTGTGCTTACCAGCTCTATAGCTGTCCTGAAGCTCGAGTTATGTTCAGAAAACCGTCATCACGTGTCAAGATGACTTGAAACGGCCGATCCCGCCTGCCTGCTTTTTGGCAGTAAAAGGTACCCGATCGAGCTGAGATCAAGATGGCGAGCGGGAATAAGATCGAATATCATGGGAAAAAATACTAGAGCTCAAACGAATTGTTAAATTTCAAGAACAAAATTTTCAACCGACCCAAAGTCATCAAAAGGTCCGTCGAGATTTTTCTTGCCAACTAGCTCTCCAGCGCCCCGGAATTACTCTTAAGCTTCCAGCAATAACTGGGCGCCGGCGGTAAACCGTTAACCTTTCTTACCGCCGGGGGACTCGTAGAGCTTCCTGACAACATATAATGTCGAAAAAAAATTGCAGAGAACGAATAGTTTTTCAGCCTAAGCGATTTCAGACCTCTCGATGCAACAGCCGAACGCCCCCGATGCTTCTCGATTGTCTTCTTCACGAGCTCTGTAGCTCTCCTACAGCCCGAGTTACGTGCGTAGATCGACAGCACTTCTCAAGATGACTCGAAGAAAACGAATAGTTTGGCAAACCCAGCTCGAGTATTAGACCGAGTTCAGACCTCTGAATGCGACAGGCGGACGCGTCTCATGTCTTCGAATCGATTCCTGTGATTACCAGCCCTGCAGCCCCACTACAGCCCGAGTTAAGTGCAGAAAACCGAGAGCACGTCTCAGGATGACTCGAAAAATACTAATAGTTTCGCGGACCTATTTCGGGCAGCAGACCGAGTTCCGAGCTCTGGATTCGACAGGCGGACGCGCCTGCTGTCTTCAAATCGATTCCTGTGACCACCAGCCCTGTAACCCCCTTCAGCCCGAGTTAAATGCAGAAAACCGACAGCACCTCTCAAGATGACTCGAACAATACGAATAGTTTCGCGATTCTAGATCGGGCAGCAGACCGAGTTGAGAGCTCTGTATTCAACAGACAAATACGACTGACGATTCTGAATCGGTTTCTGTAAGTCTCAGCTCTGTAGCTGTCCTATAGCTCGAGTTACGTACAGAAAACTGAGAGCGCCTGTCCAGATGACCCGAATAATACGAATAGGTTTCCGGCCCTAGCTCGGCTAGCAGACCGAGTTCAGACTTCGAGATGCAACAGACGAACGCGCCCGATCATTCTGAATCGATAAGGTGTGCTTACCAGCTGCGTAGCTGTCTTGTATCTCGAGTTAAGGCCAATATACTGACAGCGCGGTCAAGATGACTCGAAACGGCCGATCCTGCCCGTGTGCTTTTTGGCAGTAAACGGTACCCGATCGAGCTGAGATCAAGATGGCGGGCGGGAATAAGATCGAATATCACGGGAAAAAATACTAGAGCTCTAACGAATGGTTGAATTTCGAGAACAAAATTTTCAACCGACCAAAAGTCAGCAAAAGGTCCGTCGAGATTTTTCTTGCCAACTAGCTCTCCAGCGCCCCGGAATTACTCTTAAGCTTCCAGCAACAACTTGCTAAGGGAAGCTCTACGAGTTACTTGCTAAGGGAAGCTCTACGAGTTATTTTTCTTGCCAACTAGCTCTCCAGCGCCCCGGAATTACTCTTAAACTTCCAGGAACTGGGCGCCGGCGGTAAACCGTCAACCTTTCTTACCGCCGGGGGACTCGTTGAGCTTCCTGACCACATATAATGTCGAAAAAAATTGCAGAGAACGAATAGTTTTTCAGCCTAAGCGATTTCAGACCTCTCGATGCAACAGCCGAAGGCCCCTCATGCTTCTGGATCGTTTTCTGTGCGCACGAGCTCCGAAGCTCTCTTACAGCCCGAGTTACGTGCGAAAATCGACAGCACCTCTCAAGATCACTCGAACAATACAAATAGTTTCGCGAATCTAGCTCGAGTATCAGACCGAGTTCAGACCTCTGAATGCAACAGGCTGACGCGCCTGATGTCTTCGAATCGATTCCTGTGATTAACAGCCCTGCAGCCCCCTTACAGCCCGAGTTAAGTGCAGAAAACCAACTGCACCTCTGAAGATGACTCGAACAATACGAATAGTTTCGCGGACCTAGCTCGGGCAGCAGACCGAGTTTAGAGCTGTGAATGCGAC